AGAGAGAGAGAGAGAGAGAGAGAGAGAGAGAGAGAGAGAGAGAGAGAAAGAGAGGATCGAAGGATTTTCTTTTTCAGCGGTTTCTTCTTTCCTTATCCCCGAGAGAGCCATCCTCTTAACTGAGTCGTTTTTTATCATTCGTCGCTTAAATGTAGAGCAAAAGGCTTTTCTTCGGGATAAAGCAGCGTGGTCGGCCGGATTGTTTCCTCGGGGAATTGGCACACTGGGAGTTATTGGCTCAAAGTGGATGGGACACCTTTCACCCTTCTGGGAAAAACATTGGCGCCGATCATCCCTTCGAGCCACTTTCAATATTGAATTATCTTGATTTCTCGTGGATTAGTTTAATTGATCGTTGGATGCAATTGTTTGGTGCTTGGATATTATTAGAGATCATATTTTTCATGCTATTATTAAAGTATTGTTCACTCGATATTATCATCATGATTTATTTAAAAGATACGTATCCTTCGTGAATTCCAATTTTTTAATCTCATGTTACGATCCATTAGAAGGTATTGTTGATTTAAAAAGATTCTTCTATTTAAAATTCTTCCAGTGAAAATTTTATATATAATCGAATCTATTTCGATTTAACGAAATTTCAATCTCTTCTATTATTCAACTTCTTGCAAGATTACACAGATGTAGATTAAAATTCTAAAAAAATTTTAACAACACGATTTTATGATGTCTTCAATCATACTTCAATTTTTTTAAAAACTGTATATAATTAATCGATGTTAACGATATAATAATATTGTTATTAATTATCTATAAATTTAATCATAGAAACAATCGATCCTTGGACAATATATTTTTATTTCTTCGTGAAGAATCGAAAATTATAATCCAAAGTGAATTTTGTTGGAAAATACTCGACATTTCCTGATAGAAAGAAAACTCGTGGAAAGTTTTATTTTCATACATCATGATACTTAATTGCATTTCTTTCTTATAATTTCATCTTCGTGAATATCCACATCATAAGTTTCTAAGTTTCTCTGCAAAATCACAGTGGACGATTTAATTAGATTGTGTCTTACAATTTTTGTACAATTTTATTACGATCGCATCCACGTAATCTTCGCGAATCCTATGGATTCAGGATAAAGGTTTGGAATTTCCGTAAATTAATCTCTACCTCTGTAGCCTTGCAACCACGAACGGTACAAAACGAGGGATGCAAAAGCGCAACGATAAATCAGAAATATCTCGAGGAATTCGGCCAATTTAATAACATTCCCTCGAACAGCACTAAATCTCGGATCCTCTTAACGAAGATTTAAAGATCGTCCAATCATCGTCTTACTTTTCATCCTTCGTAGATCGTACAATTTTCGAATCTCGATCAATTTGCAATTCGTTTTCTTATATTTATTCGGCAACAGTTGAAACGAAGTTAGGTAAATTAGATGATAAGGGGATTTCTCATTATCTGATGCAATCTCATCTAGAAAATACACGATGATGCGATGAGAGAAGTTATCCTGTAACCGTACAAATGGAAGAAAAATGGGAAGAAAATTCGCATTATATAGCGGATGGATATCCAAGAAATAAAACAGCATAATACAGAATTTTTGATTAAAAAGCTATTTAAAATTTTCTCTTGTTCCGTTTTCGTCTCGTCGATTTTTTTTTTTTTTTTTCCCTTAACGAACGCAACAATGCGGCAAGTTAATCATGTTTCTTTGGAACGAAGGAAACTATGGAGGATTGTAACCAAGGGGAAGTTTCGTGTAAAATTTTGCAACTTTTCTAATATCCACTGTATTTATATACTTCGGCGCCAAAGTAATTAGATTTCTGGGAATAACGATACCTCGCGTCTAACTTTAATTCGAAAGGGAGAAGGAAATTTTCTCATCCGGGTATAATCGAATGGAAGAAAAGAACTTCATTGAAATGCAGAATTTCATTGAAACGCTGTTGATTATCCGTGAATTTGAGCCGAGTTGATATTGATAGATATTTTCGTGTTCTCCTTTTTTTTTTTTATCTTGAACGAAAATAAAATTCTTCAATAAATTGTAGAAGTAAATTCTTCGATGAATGAAATATAAAACGGCCATTGTATAAGATTATATATATATATCATTCGAGTGAAATTATTTTAGTTTTTACTGTGTTTGTTTTAAACAATATTGGTAATAATAAAAATAAATTATACTTCTTATTTTGAGAAAAGATTATTTCAAGTATTGAAAATCTTTCTTTCAAATAAATTTGAATCTTTTTATTATTAAAGGGATCACTCGTTTTTTATTCAAAATAATCCTGCCACGAGATAAAACCGGATAT